TTTTATTCACACTTTTTTTACAATTACTTACAAAATACTTTTTGGAATACTTTAACTAGTGTATATATATACAGCATAAATACAGCTGCTATAGCTCATTTTAATCTTTATAGTATGAAATCAGAATTATTTGTGGTGTCTTGACTCTGTAACCAGTATGTCAAATACATTAAAATGCTATAGAATATGATTTTTGTTTAAGGTAATTATATACCTATATATCAAAGGCTTTACAAAAATGGTCTAATCAGAACGCATTTTTTTTAAGATATAAAAATTGGTTGAAAGATAATTACAATATATAAAAAAAAATATGGTTCAAAAAAGAACGAACAGGTCTCAAATTAAAGTTTTTTGAAATTTGAACACTGTGCACTTTTATATATACTTTTATTTAAGCAGTTATTACCATAAAATTCTGGTATGGAGTACTAGCATTCACTCCGCAAAGGCCTCCCAGAACATGTTCATGTACTTTTAAATATGGAAAAACTATGGATGCTATTGACGATGATATTTAAATTTTCTTCATTTTTAAAGAAATGTGACTTAATAATATCACCAGATCTTTAGTTGCAATACATTAGAAATACATTAGATATATGTATCAAATCACTGTTTGTCAAATCATATAAAACAGTTGTTAATTTCAGAGTAATCTTGCTATTCTGGAGTATTATAAATTAATCTCAAGTGTTTACATTGCGCTCTAGATTTACCTATCAACAATAAAAATTGCAATAAAAATAAATTTCGATTAAAAAAGTAACCCCAGATTCACCAATGGAAAACGGCTTTAAATTGCACCAAAAAGAGTGTTTTTGTAATGTGACGGCAGCTAATAATAAATACATTTTTCTGATAAATTTAGTTTAATTAATTCTTTATTAATTTATCTTTTACAATTCTTTCACTATTAGCATTATCAATATTAGTTATTGTCATACGAGAAATATTTAATTTTTAATGTAATGACTTACGGCACTGGATACGAGTTTCTTGAACCAGCAGTATAAAGAAATATATACTAAAGTTTTTGTCAATTAAGTATATCAGGGCTGTCCAGACCAGATGCGATCGCGGGCCAATACAAATCACTATACAGATTGAAGAGTCGCAGAAACAAATACATACGTTCATAGTTGTTTTCGATAAAAATAAAAATACGGTTATAATTTAAATTTAGTTTTATTAATAAATCAATTTAAATTCATTTATTTGGTATACCATAAAAAAGTATAATGTAGTAACAGTACACCAAAAGAAAATTTTCGTAATTGTAGTAGATTGAAAACATATCGCGGGCCGCACAAACATGCCACGCCACGACCACGGGCCACATACGGCCCGCGCTCCTGCTTTGGACAGCCCTGACGTAAATTAACGTAAAGTAAATTAATTTTTTAAAACATTTTAATTAATTTGAGATATCATAAAAACAAAATAATGTGATGTTACTAAAATATAACAAAGAAGAATATGCCTAATTGTGGTAGATGAGAAACATGTCACGGGCCGCATAAATATTAGCTGCGGACTGTATGAGGCCTATGGGCCATGCTTTGAATAGCCCTGCAATGTATAGTAAGTGATATGTGTTATATATAACTATTGCCAAAAAATAATATATGAATCATTAATTTGTATTGCAATTATATCCAAATATGAAAAAATTTAAATAAAATTTAACAGAAATATCTAGTATTACTTATTCGAATCAGATATCTAGATCAAATCACACTATTACTACAAATGTTTTCAAATAGGAATCAATTACAATTTATTAATTTATATACTTGAAATCAAACGACTTAGGTCATTCTGCCAAATATTCAAAATTTTATTCATTTAGTTTAAAGTTAAGACTCTAGTTTGTATTCTTATTAATAGACATAAAATATTTGCTCATTGGACATTGATTCATATTGTCGATGCTGCTTTTATACAAATCTGTACTTAAACCTGTATGGAGTTATGGGCCCAATTATGGGGTACTGCAGCAGATTAAAACCTGGCAATTATCCAGCGTTTTCAATCTAAAACACTACTTATGATCACAAATGCACTTCGGATGAACAGCTGCATAAACAATTACATGTTCGGACAATCAAGGAAGAAATAGCTAGTATTTTAAAGAATTACGCCCATCACATATATGCACCCAAACCCGCTGGTTACACACCTGATGTTCCCTTCCAACACTTTTACAAGGCTGAGAAGGAAAACATCGAGAGACATTTTAGATATGTATATGTAGGTCACACACTTCTATTTTTATTATATATGGATATGTCACTGGACATAGTCCATAAGTGCCTTTCTTTTTTAGATCGTAACAACTATTATTACGATTCATGTTAATATATATTATTGTATCATTCATATTATATTATTGTCATTCATACCTCACAGATTGTAATAAAATAAGTGGATTTAAAAAAAAAAAATATTATCGATGCTCAACAGGATCACCGAAATGTCACTTAAAAGTATTATGCATATTATATATGCATTTTCCATATATCAAAATCTTAAAACTGAAGGACAATATTAGAAAAATGCTTTAAGTTATGCATGTTTTCCTTGGATTGTTGTCAAAAAATATCTCTACTTAATTTTATTTGTAAAAATGTGGGAGGTTTAGTTAGGATATGAGGCGATTTTTGTTTATGAAGCTTATATATCTAATATATTTTTTTAGTGTCTGAAATTCCACGTCATAATTGTTGTTAAATAAAAATATGCGTTTTTGGAATCTGACATTCTGCTGGGGTGGGCATCTATTTTTTCAATGAATTTCAATGCTTTAACTTTTATAAATTTTATTTGTTGTGACAAATGTTAGTTTCTATGCAAATTTCAGTTTTTGATGTACCACAGAATAACATTATTCTTATCATGGCATTATTTCAGAAGTTTTAAAATTTGCTGCTATGAATTTTACGAGTAAATTTCCTTTTGTTAATAACGAAAATATATATAACAATAATAAAAATCGATTTAATTTATGCATTTACAAACTGCTCCATTAAAACTATTTCATTCCTGATTTCATAACTTTAATAACTTTTAAATGACAAAGATAAACGTTTTTAGTTGTTTTTTCAATTCTCAATTATTTTTATTTGATATTTAACATTCAACTTTTATTTGCCATTTAAAACTAAATAGAAAACACTAAATTGTTCAAATAACAAACACTAAAAACTATTCAAGTTTTTATAAACAATAGTTTATAAACAGATTTAAATTTTACAGTTAAAAAATTTTAGAGATAAAATAGTCTATCGAACATATAAGTTCCAAGTATAACATAAAAAAGTACTCTAATAACATTAATTTATAAAAAAAGCACTCTAAAAACAATATCTCATTTCAAATAATAAATAATTTCTATAATGAGTTAAAGAGGTTTTTTCGAACAGTAGTGAACTACAACAACAAAAACTTTATTTGTCATATTATTTTCATTAATTGAATTTTTAGCTGTTTCGAGTATTACCAAATACCCATCATCTGTGGTCTTGGAAATAATTCTTGTATTTTTAATTATTCGTAAATAACTATTCTTGAGACTCGGGAATCGAACTCGGAACTAATGAGTTAATATTTAGTCTATAATGATTTTTTAATGAACAACTGAGTAAAATAGAAGCATTGTATATATATAGATAAATATATTGTTTATATTATATACGAGTATATATTTTATATATAGTACTTTCAAAAGTTCATGGCAATTTTTAAAAACACGTTGAAGATGGCTTTGCTTGAAGCTATCTTATTAAAAATATCGGTAAAATACATAGATTATGTTCATGAAATTTAACAAAATTTGCTTATAATTTGGAGGTAGAAATCAATACCAATCAAAGAATTAATATTAAGATTTTTTATGTTAATAGGATTACCGAAAGGTTTTAATTGACTAACAAACAGTCAATTAAATAATAGTTTACGGTTGTTTATTTAGTAGTGTCGTCCATGACTAGTATGTGCAACCGAATCCTTGACCACCTCAAAACATAGTTTTCATCAAACATAAGTCAAAATACTTATAGTTTTAGAATACCGTAAATTCCTGAAGAATATTACAGTCGATTATCCAAAATACTCGTTCCATATTCGTTCAATTCACTCAAAACGTTATATTATGTTAGAAGTAAACAAATGTGATAAATCATTTTAATATTACTTTTGTTAACTGTAGAAATCACCTTTTGTAATGAGTCAATATATAAAGTTTTTTAATTATAATTAAATAAGTGAAGTTTTTTAATTATAAATAGAGTCAATTCAGTTACGTTCTCAACTCTCAATACAAAGTGTTATGTTATTAACCTAACTTTATATATATTTCTATGCAATAACTTTATCTAAATAAATATCTAATATTGTTTAGTATTTTAATAATATTTCTGTAATATAATAATTTTAGAAATAAATGACGAATTTTTTTATTAGTGTATGTTTTTATAAACTATTCATTAACATTATTAGTTTTTAGACAAGTCACAAATGTTCATTAATTGATGCCTGCGATTTCTGTAAGTCAAAACCTATGGCAGTCTCTCTAACGCATATAGCTAAATAAAATATTACATAAATATTATCACCAATAATTTATAATAATATAAACCAATAGAAACAATATATTCTCAAATTATATGACTATATTATTAAAAATTTATAGTATCATTTCAATCCATCATAACAGAGATTTTGCTTTCAATGCACATTTATTTTTTATATCGAGTCAGAGAATAATTTGCAAATTTTATTCACTTATCTTGAGAAGGAAATCCTTCTGCTTTTTTACGAAATATAAATACTTTTATTACTTCAGCTGCAACAACTTAAAATAACTGCATTTTCAACAAAATACTGTATGGTATCAATAATCTCCTTTTTAAATGCCGGAGTCTTACAGCATTACAAATGCTTTACCTCCATGCATACTCAATGTGCAACCACACAATAATCTTTCCATATTTTTTTACCTTGAGATAGAGCACGAAATGTTGAATATCCTGCAATTCCAAAAAGTGCTGCTACTGTCCATGCAAAACCAATTGAAACGTGAGTAACCTTTTCCCAACGTTCCATAGTTGCATCACGCATGGATTGATATACAAGAAAAGTATTGTGATGACACATAAATGCTGAAATTCCATAAAAAATAATCTGTTAAAAAATGTTAAGTAATATTTAAGAGAATTTTAAAATATAATATTTAATATACTCGTATAAGTTATATATTTGGAAATATATTTTATAATAAATTTTTCTTTGAAGAATCATTTAATATTATGTTTTTTTTAGAATAGTAACGCAATCCTTAAAATTAATAACACTAATAAGAAATTTGAAAATAAAAATAAATTTAGAGAGGACTTATAGTTGCAATAACGAAAAATCACGAAGACTCAAAAAATATTGGTCCATATACCAATATGTTGTATTAACTGACATCACGAAACGAGTCATACAGTTTATTAGATATAATATCGAAACACATACAAAAGGTGAATGGAAAGATATATTGTCCATTGCTGAAACATATCGAAAAAATTACAGTTTCTATAAGAAAGCAATTTTATTTTAATAAAGGGCACACAGAAAGACATTATGATTTCAAGTCAATTGGTAATGAACTCACAAAATGCTACTTAAAAGACCGCAACAGAAAATGGGATGAGATAAAAATTTTAAAGACCATCGAATTGATAGGGTAGGCCAACGTCAAGGTAAACGTCCAAGTAAAATACTTTCGCTAACACGAATAGACTTGATGACTTTATCTGATAATTTTACTGGTCACTGCAACCTTTTGCATCACAGAAACCAGTTGGGCTCTATGACACAGATGTCTGAAGTTTTTATGAAATGGACAACAAACCCCATTTAACTTGATCCAATATACAGGGTTAACGATCAAGGTTATGTACAAAAGAACTAATAACTTTGCAGTGCTTTCTGCCGTTTAATGATAATAATTATAATGATATAAGGTTTATTTATGTTATTGTTCTTTTATTAATTTGAAGTTTTGCATACATATATATATTAATTTAGACAACGAAAAAGTCGTCGGAGTAAATATGAACTGCGCTCCCACAATAAGTTTTTGCCCAATACCCACCTAATCCAAAAAATATCACAATAATAGGGTGATAATATTAACTTTTTTGTGAGCACTCTGAAGAGATTGAGATATAGATAAATTAGTAAGATATAGTAAGAAAGAATACATCATAAACAACTAGAGATATAGAAAAAATGAGATCCAATAAAATGTTTCCATTAGTCAGGTTGTTCCTAAAGCACTTACTTCTTGGTCATTCAAGTCAAAACAGGTCTGCGAGTGTTATAAGCTGCTACATGTACTTGCAACTCGGAATAAGGTAAGTCTCTTACTGGGGTTATTCACGATACTAGTTTAAAAAAAAAAATAATAGTAATATTCATACAGGATAAATAGGGTAAGAATGTTCATTTAGTGTGAGATCATTCTTAATGGGTTGAGATATTAAATATAAATCATAGGAAACCAGTTGGGATGTGTAATACATTTACTTCATCTAAAGCAATTGTTGAGCTATTTAAATGTTTTTTATATTGATTTTTCTGTAGCAACTATAAAGCATTTTCTCGTATTTTCCAAGAATATCCTGAATTTAGACTCTTTAGATTTTCTATCCAACATTATTCGCTTAAGTCGATGTCTCAAATTAATTTTTTTTTTTTCAATAAAAAGAAATACCATAAATGTGCAAGATGTTCGGTACATTTCTAGTTTTCACAATATAAGAACACGTAAAGTGTACAGTAAAAAGCCATTGAAAAATCGTTCTTCTAATCAAATTAGTAGAGCCATTTTTTAGATAAAAAATAAATTGAAAAAAAATTTCAAGAAACCGTATATTAAATATTGGATTGCAGGTATCAGGACTACAAACTGTTCTAATTAGCATCTTAAATTCATGTGTTAAATTAGTAATACTTGGTAATATGAGGTTGCACTTTTCAAATTTAAGCACATCTAGTTTATTAGCACTTGTAAACGAAAAACTATATACTGACATTTAAAACTTCAAATACTTACTAAAAATACTGAAAATCAATATTTTACAAAACTTCGGAACAACTATTTCGGTTCAAAAAATTATTTGTTTAAAAATAAATCTTTGCAGTAATAAAATTGTAGGCCTATATACGCACTTCTAATTCTTAAAATATTTCCCAAGAGCACTAAAAATATATATTGAACAATATTCAGAGCCAGTCTAAAAATTTTTTTAATTAAAAATAACTTTTTATATTAAAATATTGCTTCAATTCAAAACCTTTGATCAATTTTTAGTTATCTTGCAAAATTTTAGGGATATCGACTATTAAGATTGCTACTTATTCACATATCTTAGAAGACTTTCAAAAAAATATACATAAAAATTAATTTCCTTATATTATTTTTTATTACACATATTATTAAATTAATTAAATTAATTAAAAATAACTTTTTATATTAAAATATTGCTTCAATTCAAAACCTTTGATCAATTTTTATTTATCTTGCAAAATTTTCAGGATATCGATTATTAAGATTGCAAAAAAGTATTCATAAAAATTAATTTTCCTCTATTATATTTTATTACACATATCATTAAATTAATTAAATTATTTAAAAATAACTTTTTATATTATAATATTGCTTCAATTCAAAACCTTTGATCAATTTTTAGTTATCTTGCAAAATTTTCAAGATATCGACTTTTAAGATTGCTACTTATTCACATATCTTAGAGGACTTTCAAAAAAATATACATAAAAATTAATTTTCTTATATTATTTTTTTTTACACATATTATTAAATTAATTTAATTATTTAAGAATAACTTTTTATATTAAAATATTGTTTCAATTCAAAACTTTTGATCAATTTTTATTTATCTTGCAAAATTTTCAGGATATCGACTATTAAGATTGCAAAAAGGTATTCATAAAAATTAATTTTCCTCTATTATTTTTTATTGCACATATTATTAAATTAATTAAATTATTTAAGAATAACTTTTTATATTAAAATGTTGCTTCAATACGAATCCTTTGATCAATTTTTAGTTATCTTGCAAAATTTGAGGAATATCGACTCTTATGATTGCTACTTATTCATATATCTTAGAGAATTTTCACAAAAATATTCATAAAAATTAATTTTCTTATATTATTTTTTATTATACATATCTACTCCATATACATAATTGATTGCTACTTACCAAAAACCATTATACCCGTTGCGGGAATAACATCGACATTTGCAAATCTCCAGGAATCCGCTGTATCAGTTCTGTTACGAAAAAGAGATTATCAGTTTTATTTGAAATGCACGAGGACAATAACTTTTTATGTTCGCAAAAAATTGAAATTTTTTATTCTTTTATTCTTCAGATACAAATTATGTATATAAATATGCTAAACTGATTTTTATTATTGCAATTTTTCAAAGTAACAATTTACTTCAACACTAAATGTTAAAATGTGTTCTGTCTGCTTAAGCGTTTGCGAATTCCTTAAAGAGTGCTTTCCTCACTTGCATGGAAAGGAATGCAAATTTGAAAATTATTTATAAATTATGCGAATCCTGCTGAATATGAAGATGCGTCCTTATTGTAAGTCTGCTGTCGTTTGTTATTGTTAACTGTGTATAACAACGCTGGTATACCGTATACGTTATAAAGCTATATATAGCGTAAATTGTGTTACATTTTAAGTGCCGTTTTACAGCTCCCTCGCTTCACCGCAGCTAAATTAACCGACAACATCTGTTTTTCTACCGCATTTTTTTTTTTTTTTGTTGAGTTTTTCCTTAAAGAAGCGCAAAAAATTGGCAGTAATAAAAGCAACAGTTCCTTGTTTGGTCTATAAGACAGGGTAAGTGAGCAACAATAACCTTTTACATCTCAAGGGTGCGGTAATAAAATGTTGTAAATGCAAACGAGAGCAGCACTAAATTTCACGGTTCCACGTTGATTTGCGCTGCATTGGTGCTTTTTGGCAACTGCAACATTGTTGTGGATTAAAGGATAAACTTTTATTGCAGCGCGCAAAAATATATTGGCTACACAGAAGCGATTTGCGCTCCTTTATAAAATGATTAAAATTTCAGATATTTTTTTTATTTTTATTTTTATTTTTATTTTAATGAATAAAAACATTAAAATCGGAAAGTTGAAATTCTTTAAAAGGGTAAGCCACTTAATAAGTTGCATTTTACAGCTCATTTCAAGTTTTTTGTTACAGTATGAAAAGTTTTTATAAATATGAATCTTTTTTCATCATTATTAAATTTGTAATAGGTATGTATATTAAAATATCTCTCGTAAAAAAATTCTTCATTTTCCAATATGAATTTCTCAGTATTTCACCTTCAACTACATACTCAGGTGGGTCTTGTTTTTTTTATGAGCCCATAAAAAATTTGTAATTGTCGTCTCTTATTCGAAATGCTTGCTGTAGTAACATTCTGCATTAATATTTAAAAACATCCTTGATGGTGACCTAATCGAAGTTGGTAATTTATAGCAATAATTTGGGAAAGTGAGGTTGTAGTAACACTTGAATTGTAACAAAATATTAATGACTTACAGTCACAGCTTTTCTATGGAATTACTATTATTTCAGTAATTAAAGTACTAGCACTTATAGATTCCTACTGAAACCAACATTAATTTATTGGAGTACTACTTTTTAGGACAATTAAAATGTTATTTATAGCACACCCGGAGAACAAAACGTGCCAATAATTGAACTACTGTTTTGCTAATTTCATTAAAAACGTTTCACCTTAAATTATTAATAATTTGCATTTATCTAATTTTTATAAAAAAAAATTTCAAAATAAATAATGTATATAAAATATATGAAACAAAATTGTAATGTAAAGGGAAATAATTTTAAATCGGATCATTTAAATTGGCATAAGCGATAAAACTTAATTGCGTATATTTAAAATGAAATTTCCAACAAAACGAGGCAATGTGGTTCCGATAATGCCTGCGAGCGGTGTTACAGCGATTTGCTAGCAGCTAAACATATACACATGCACTTAACAAGCACCAAGCACATACATAAGAGCTTAGCGCAAAAAAGGACCTTATAATTAATGGCATTTACTGTTTAATTTGTGAAAATGCCTCGTTAAATACTAAATTGTGCGCCTTATGGCACGGCAACTGCATTTGTTTGTTTGTTTGTTTGGATGTTTGATTGTTTGGCTGTTGGGGGATAAATGTGTGTAGTGCAAAATGAAATCCATTGGATACTTACACTTTGTAATCACCTGACATAAGCTTCAAAATCACGGCAAACAGTATAAAGACCACACATGCTAAGCTAATAAAACTCGCTCTGGCCAGACGCGAAACGTTCTTGTACAAGCAAAGCGGTACCACCACACCAATCGTTACGAAGAACACCACACCCAGTCGAACGGCGCCCATTGATGTGCCCCACGAGGGAAAAAATCGCACTAGCACTTTAGATAGCGTATCACCGACGACCACATTGTACGATATCATGGCTGAAATATAAATGAAGAAGAAACTTAAATTTTATTAAAGGAAGTCTGATTGTAAAATATACGTTTAGACAAAAACAGTAATTTTATACTCAGTGACTGCAAACTTTCGGGCAGGTTCACCAAGCAAGTTTTTGGGAAAACACATTTCATAATGAATCTTGTGTAATTAGTCACACATTCACACATATGCGCACACACATCACACAACACAAAAAACAAAAAAAACAAAACAGAAATAATTATAACTTTATTGTTTCGTGTAGGAACAACCCATTAAGGGAATTTAAAAATCTTAGCTCCTTTTTTATGTACTAAAGCAAGTAAACACATAATTGCTTCCGGTAAGCAAATGTGTTTTTCACGAAAACATTTAATTTAGTTAACTTACGAGGGAGCCTTGATTTTTACACTGCACTACAATACAAAACTGCATAAACATGCGCTAACTACACTTTTGGACTTAATAACTATCGTCCTCGAATATAGGGAAATCTTGCTAATTACACTAAGTGACGATTTCATAATTGTTAGGGGGGAAAGCAGCAATTATTAAATGCCTAAATGTACTCAAGTTAAACCAAAAATTTACATACCCCAAAATAATTTTATGGCCAATGGTATTTTTAGTTTCTAGAAATATTGCTTTATCGATTCGTTTTATATACAAATTTTAAAATGAAATTTCTTGAAATTGTATTTTGCAATGCCTTAAAAGTAACTTCAGGGTTTTAACAATATATACTCTTAAAGTTTAATGTGAACATTATGGCAAATACAAGGAGTTATTTTTAATTGGAACTTATCTATCTATCATCAATTAACTGATACTATTCGCTAGTGAATTTTACTAATGAATAGTGTCACACAGAAGGCGAATGAAGGGAGTAGAGAATCCATTCTGTATTCAAAATGTTGAGTTATTTATATTTACAGTCAAACTTCCATAACTCGAAGTACTATTTTGGAATGAAAAGGTTCGAATAATGGAGACTTCGAGTTAAAGAATTTTTTTGTAATTATATGTAATTTACTCTCTAAACCCTCTTGCACTCTATTTGGTTCGAGTTATAAAAAATTCAAGTTATAGAAGTTCAAATTGTGGAAGTTTGACTGTATTTAATTAAAAATAGAGTTAGCGTATCGAACTTGCATTATAGAAGTTTTATAGAAAACTAATTGAAGCTTTCCAACTTAGAAAAACAAACGAATCAAATGGATTTGGTTATAAGTGAGGACAAGACAAAGTACATTCCGTCAACAAGCAAATATCATGAGCGTCTTGGGATCCACGACACTATTGGCAACTATAAATTTGAAGTAACGAACGACTTTGTTTATGTGGGAACCAGCGTAAACGTCGAAAAGGGCTAAATAGACAATTGAGAAATAAAGCCTTTTCTAAAGCTTTCTAAAAGCTTCTTAAAGTTTTCCAACTAAAGCATTGGAAGATCTAGGGCCACTTACGAGTTGGCAACAAGTATCGAATTAAATGGAACGATGAGTTATGAGCTATATCGCGACATTGACATAGTTCAAAAAATAAAACTTTAACAGCTTTACCATTTTGGTCAAGTAGCGCGAGTGGAAGAAAGTACTTCAGGTAGGAATGTGTTGGGTTCACTAGCGGAAACTACTGATGTCAGCTAAGATGGGCTCATAACTTAAATGGCAAAGTAAATGTTTTACTAAACTTTTTTATTATTATTCGAAATTTTATTATTTACATTTTTATAATTAATAAAATGTGAAATTTATTAATATTTATGTAATGTAGTATAATATAATGGATACTATTGATAGTATACAGAAAATATATATAAATTCATTAAATTCACAACAAAAAAAGAAATTTGTCACACTAGGTTATCTTAATGCAATACGGATTGTATACAATAAAAAATAAAAAGAAAATTGTGACGAAAACTCAGAACCAATAGATGCAATAATTTTAAATCCCAACATCGTTGCCATCTTGTTTAGACCTCAGTTCTACACTTGTTTGAACTTATATTTGACATCAGTGATTAATTTTTTTAATATGAAAATAAAAAAACTTCTATTGATATTCTGTTCTAGAACAACTATGCTAAAAAGACTATCTATTGCTTACTAAAAAAGCGTGTAAATGATTTATATGATGATGATCATCATATAAATCCTAATGGCATACATTTTCAGTTGCTCCGAAAACATCAAAAATTCTATCTGTTATTATAGATAATCGCATTGATTAACTCTTAAAGCTAAAAACACATTTACATAAAACTTTTTGAAATAAACAAAAACAATAATTTATAAATTGAATAATCACAATTTAATACACCTGTTCTTATGTAAAGGAAATAGGTCCAACGTGTGCAAGAACAAGTATCACTGGTAATGATATAAAAACCCCTTCAGCTTATGAGAATCAAAAAAAACTACTCATTGTGCAGCAATGAATTATACATCAAATTGCAATGGAGCATAGATCATAAACAGTAAACCAAATTACCAACAATGATTAACTCTTGAAGTGATACATATAATCGATGTTCCGGATCAGAGACTTAATTATAAAAAGACATTAAATGCCTTTCATAAATTTGCAGAAATTTGATTCAATGTGAAGTTCACTAATACATAATATGTATGAAATTATTTATTTAATATCTTTTTGTTATTGGTGCTTACATATATAATTAAAATGATTAAATTTTACAATGGAACACATTGATAGTTATTTATGAGCTGTTTCCTTACACAACGTTTTAAATTTAATAGTACATAATAAATGTAAGCTAACAAAACCTCAGGACCATTACATGAATTTTAAAATAATTATTGTTTATTGTTTATTTTAATGGTCTTGATATAATATTGCTATTATTAAATCTATTGTAATTCTCTACCTTCGCTCCTTGCTAGTTTTCTTGGGTTTAAAATACATGTGCACATACATACTATATATATACATTTAAATATCTTTAAAAGAACAGTAATATTTGCTTGTCACTATTACAATTAGTACATATTATTTACAACATATTATTGTGCTATATCATAAACATGAGATTGGTATCAAATAAATACAGTATTCATTATAAAATATATATTATCAATACCAAAACATTATATGTGTATATTTATATTGGTTTTATACCTACCTAAAAATGGATACATAAACTGCAGCAATGACAACAAATAATAACCATACTTTCCATAGGCTGCCTCCATTATGCCTGGATAACTGAAGCGACCGCATATATGACCACATCTCACCTGAAATTATAATTATGGATATGCATTGAAGAACTCTTTTATCTTCAATTTAGACATAGTTATAAATTAAAAAGAAAATTACAAAAAATTTTTTCTTACGTTAATAGAATTTTGAAACCGAATATATTATCAAATTTTATCGGAAGAAAATCTTATATATTTCCAACACAACTTTCAACTATACTTTCTCCACTACCAGAAAGACTTAAGTATTTGGTGCGTATGCAGTGCTTTAAATGTAATTTATGCGTATGAGCTAATCCATTATATTGTATGAATAAATTTTCAACCACGATTAACAAATTTTAAATTATGTACTAAATTTGAATTTTATCCATTAAGTTTACTACAATAATGGCACATGACAATCGACCATATATGTAAATTTGAATAGGTATATGTATGGTAGTTGCTTTTGAGATTGATAAAAATCTCAAAAATTCGAATATAAGTGGCTTGCTGGGATTGCTATTCTAGGTGCATATAAGGATTTTCATACATACCATTAGTATAAGTGAATAGTCGGTGATGTAGGCAACTAATATGAGAAGCAACAGTCCCAAGCCAAAACCTGCACGATGAAAGGCGTACGGAATGCCAATCACTCCACTACCAACAATTGAATTGATGTAGTTGAAGGACGCTTGAGGCAATGATGACAATGAGTCACTTAGTTCTGCATTAGGATGCTGCTGTTGTTGTTGTCCGGTTTGTTGTGGTTGTTGTTGAAGCTGTGATTGTTGCTGCTGTTGATGTGGACGATGCTGTTGATGGTCACTCTGCAAAATTTAAAGTGAAAAATGAGACAAAGGTGAACAATTTGTAGGTAATTGGAAAATGACAAAATTGCCGAAACTGATAAAACCAATTGCTGATATGGAAGGAAATATCGAATGAAAATACATTAATTATCATATTGAGGAATACATCCATAATTTAAAATTTGAAAAACTTAAACTTTCATATATCTTACTTTGGTGTATACGAGACAATATGCAAATATATAACGAATTATTAGCAGACACAAATCTTGCATTAAGTACGATTTTTATTTTTCCAGTAAACTCTTTCTTTAGTTAATTGATCAGTGCAATTCTCTTAACTATTAAAATTGAAACAGTTTTTATTATGAAAAGCAAAAGGGCTTAAATATTTGATTGACTGCACTAAATCTTTTTTATTACCACAAATGAAAGGTATAAAAATGCAATTCATACTCATGTTTTAATGATAAATGAGATTAATTGCCTTTCAGTTTCAATTTCAGCTACAAAATTTTTAATGCAATTAAAATGAGATGCTTTTTATTCAGTGAAAAAAAAATTTATTTTTGTTCAAATTATAATACATTATCATGACTGCACAATAACAGCATAATTATTTTAAAAATGATTTTAAACAGTATAAAAATTTTAAATTATTTTTAATCAAATACGAAACTTGCATAAAATTAACTTAAAACCACGAGATTTAATATATTTCAGTTAAATTTACTTAATGTAACCTTCCTTTAATGAATGAGTTTCTTCTCTGCAGTAGTTTTAAGGAAAGTCAGCAAAACGATACCAGCGTACCAGCATTACTGTTGGATAGAACTTGGTTTTTATAAAAAATGCCCTGAAGAGTGAAAATAAACAGTTACTGCTTTGATTCATTAATTTATGGAAGTGTTTTCAAGTTGGTTAAGATGATTTATTGTCTTTATTTTTTGTTATGTAAGCTCTGTCCTTTTTGACGAATATTTGTCTCGCATAGGTAGAGAAGGGTGCAATAATAATGTGGGTATATTATATCACGATCTTAAACATAATCTATAAACAAAAACTCATGCAAAAATCAATCACAAAAACTAATGATAACAACTTAACTGATTTTAGGACTGATACTCGCTTTGGAACTCATTGTTTTGATTCACTTTTCTTTATACCTTTTAAAACACTACCGATGTTGTTGATTAGGTCTTATTTGAATGAATTTTTGGACGAATACAACACCAGTTCTGCACATAGGTTTTTGAAACCCAAAATTTTACATAAAATATCGTCACCTTACTTAAAATAATGTTTCTAAAACTATCAGTCTTAGTAAAGTAACGATATTGTAAACCTATGTTCATTTATTTCTGCGATATTTTTTGGTATTCATGTATTTTTCGGACGTATTTCATATGAAAAGTTTAAAACTTATTTTAAAAGTTTGAAAACAGCCCACATATGAATTATTATTTTAAAAGAAACTGCTACATCTTCAATATTTAAAACTTTTAAACCTTTATTCCCTTTATTTGCAATAAATTTAATCACAGTACTTTTTTTAATCCATTTATTTTATTACAATCTGTCAGGTATGAATGAAAATAAGTAATATATATTAACATGAATCGTAATAATAGTTATTACGATCTAAAAAAGAAAGGCACGTATGGACTATGTCCAGTGACATATCCATATATAATTAAAATAGAAGTGTATGACCTACATATACATATTTAAAACGTCTATCGATGTTTTTCTTTTTACCCTTGAAAAAGTGTTGGAAGGGTACATCAGGTGTGTAGCCAGTGGATTTGGATGCATATATATGCGATGAGCGTAAACACAGTATGATGTTCAATTTCTTCAATTGTTTAAGAAGATATTTCAGTACATTTCTTCAAATAATGAATAAATGTCACGATTCTCATTTCCCATTGACATAAATTTCACAATGTATCTAAAAAAACGGCAATTTCGAGCAACATTATCCACTGGGCTCTACGTCAGTATAGATTAGTTTTCGAGATATCATTTCATATGGCGCTACTTGCCGTTACAACAATATTGCACACACCAGTTGGCTTTAGATAATGTTTTATTAGTTCTTATTATTATTATTACATTATAACTATTATTAGTTCTTATTAGTGCATTCAACATAAATTTTGCAATTATAAACTTCGAAAACGATCATTTGAGAACTAACTACATCGGCATATAAAGTAGTAGAGAAGTTGTTTAAAATATTAAAATTTACTATACCTTCTGCTCAAAAAGTACGGATTTTGTTGTTTATTAACTACTCCTTAAGTAATAGACCTTTTTCAGAAGTATATAGGTTATATTGGTGCACACTTTCTTGTCGTATGGTACAGATTTGAGCGCCAACTGTCAATTAGTTTGCTTACAGCAGCTGTTAATGTTAGACTACCTCAAGTGCATTTAGCGATTTTTACTATGGAAAATTCTTGTTGTACGCGATTTTTTGATCAAACACGGCACCACTGTCATCGCTCAGGCACCATATTCGCCAGATCTGGATCCGTGCGATTTTTTCCTCTTCCCGAAACTCAAATTGTCCCTTCATGGTAAGCGTTTTGAGTCAATTGCATCGGTAAAAGACAATTCGCTGAAGGAACTGAAAGCCATACCTTCACGTGCCTGCGAAAAGTGTATGGAAGATTGGGATAACCGTTGGCATATGTGTATCGCTTCAGAAGAAGCATATTTTGAAGGAGATAAAATAAATTTGGAATAAAATTTAAATTTGTGTGTTTTGTTTACAAAATCCGAGTACTTTTTGAGCAAAAGGTATATTGTCAAATCGGTGTGAAAAAGAAATAGAAATCGCATCTTATAATGAGGCTATATTATTATTAGTCTAAAATATAGTTGAAATCATCATTTTTTTTAATTTAAATTTATTAATATGTAATCACATATTAATAAATAAATAATCATATTCTCAACTTTTTAATAAATTTAAGTACACTTCACTAAATTTAAAAAAATTTAATAAATTTTTATATAAAAAAATGCTTTCTATGTCAAATCTTACAAAATTTTAAAAAAAATAATAGTTCCAGCTAAGGTCAATAATTGCAAATGTTTTAAATATTTTTTAGAAAATTACTTAAAACAACAAAAATCTAAGAAACAATTGTATTGAAACAAACAAAAATATCAATAAACTCTGAATACAAAACATATGAATCACTTGAAAAGTTAAAATAAAACTTTCATTATCAAGTATTTTGCCAATAGGTATTGCAAAATAAAATCCATTGTTACTAGAAATATATAAAAGAATTCCTTAAAAGTTTGCACAAAGTTGGTAATTGAATAAACCCTTGAAATGCAAACGCTACGCTTTCATTAATCAATTGCTTCACACCAATTAATTCTAAAAATATAACCAAGAGCAAGGACAATGACAACAAGTAACTTAGATCCTTTTTAATCACAAATATATACACACAATAGAAAAAGCAAAGGAAAAAATATCTCCACCAAATTCCTTCCGCAACTGTCACGTGACTGGCATCCGAAAATTGTCAGTGTCTTCATTGTTTATTATCACGCAAAGAGTGGATACAAAGGAAGGAATTCATTGCAATAAAATATCTAATAAAAATATACAGGAGGCTATCAAAGGAACTTTTGCCAAGAACACAAAGTGTAAGAGGAACGATTAAAGTAGTAATTGAAATATGAAGCAATAAAATCTGTGCTTACTACTTTATTTAATATCATGTCAAAATTTATGTCCTTGTGTATATAAAAGTAATGCCAATGAAAGTAGGGAATATTAATAAAAGGTAATAATTATGTTGTTAGAAAGTGAAAGTTATTATAATTAATAAGTTAACTATGACATAAAAATTTAGTAATCTGCCGGTACATTAAGCTCCATTTTTATGTCACTTTTGTGTTTATATACAATATTTCATCGGCTTTTTAAGTGACTGTGCGACCAGAGGCGAAGGGGCTTTTCGGGAACGGAATAAGGTATTACCACTTTAGTATCCTCACCGTTAGCCACAATAATTTTTTTTGGGTATGTTTTTGCAGAAGTTTCCCTTTTTTAAAGTAATGCAGCAACACATAGCAAATTTCTTCTCAACTTAAGATTTTAACTCATTTTCAAATCAATATAACTTTTTCCAACAAACTAGACAACTGCATTCTCAAAAGATTTAATCCAAGGGTTCGCTTGGTGTAATCAGATTGCTGTTGCCAGATATGTGTGTACCAAAACCATCTAGTGAAAAACAACCGCGAATAGTTTTTATATTACTCAACATTAAAGAAAATTTTTAAAATGTATTTTATCACGACCAAAGAATATGGACATAAAATCTGCAGTCTTCTTTGTAACAGAATAGATGTCATAATTTGTAAGATTTTTCCGACTCCAGTTAAGATAAAGATCCTTTCCTTGGATTTTGCTTTCTGAATTTTAAATACAACCGTCGTAAGTAGAGACACTAGATTTCTATGTTGTTTTACGTAGCGTTCAATGTCCTGAAGGCCTAACACTACGGTGTTCAAAAACACAACAACTAAATACGAAGCGTCACCTTAGTAATTCCGCCGGTACCAAATGAAGAGATGGTACAATGCGAGGCCTATCCCAAACCTCTGTTACAAAATGGGGTTGTAGCACCCTGTGGTGAATACGCAAATCCACGCCGAATGCAACCATTTAACTGAACATTCTTCCCGCGTAAGTTTGGGTATTAACCACAGCCACTACGAGTCCTACCTTAACTGGTCATTACAGCCGAACCTGCGGGCCGCTGACCCCCATAGTACCGGATTTACACCTCTGGACGTGTGTCGCAAGTGCAGACCTCACTTATGACCATGCACATTTCCTACATAAGTGTCGGCGTGATACCGGGATTTTAGTCGCCTCTTACAACCGGCATGTCTTACCTCAGGAATATTCTAACCCCTTCACCGCAGGGCGACATGAGTAGAGACAATCAGGACGTTTGTGATTATGAAAGCAGGTGACTACA